GAGTAAATTTATCATCAAGTTAAATATGAAAAATATTAAACTTACCTCGTTGCGTAGAGTATGAACCTCATTCTGCAATGATGCTACAATCTCACGTAGAGCTGCTACCTCACCATGTAAAGTAGACACCTCAACACGCCATGCACCATTGTCATCGCGTAAAGTACCGACCTCCTCACGCAAGGCATTTACCTCATTACGTAACTCCCCTAACTCATCCCGTGGAGGTGGAGAACAGGGAGATAAACGTCGTGGCATCTTTGTCGGTCGCCTATCATGAGGTGATGGTGGAGAAGAGGCTCGATGATGTGACAGAATAGGTGATGACTCTCGTTGTGGAGGTGTATATTCGGGTCGATCAGGTGATGGCTCTGGGTGAGGTGATGGCTCTCGAAGTGGTGGCTGCTCATCATTCGTGTTATCAAAAAAACGCTTACTAGCTTGCCACCAATCAGTGGCAAGCTCAGCTTCTGTGGGTGTCAGCCTCTGTAATGGAGTGTTGGCCTCCTAACAATATAAAAGCTCAAACAAAGTTAAACGTGTACTAGTAATAACTTGTTTATAAACATATGGTAGTATTTGTGTTAACTTACATTATTTATTGTAGTATACGGTAGTAAATCTTCCCATTGCTGCAAGGACCGTTTCCTCTTCCAGGAAATAGCCCTAGGAATATCATTAGAAGTTTTTAATGCATATGTCTGCATGGCGGGAAAGGCCTCAAATATCCAAATCTACAAACAATATAATAACAAACATTAGTGATTGTTAAAGAATTAATTATAATTTTGGAAACATTATATAAAAATTATTACCTTAAAGGCCCAAATAAAGCCTGACAAAGTGTATTTGGAACCATCGCCACGCAAACTTTTTCGATCATCAAAGGCAGACGACAACTTATTCCATGTAGCTCTCCATAGATACGAACCCCACGGAAACAAGTTCCATGCATTTAGGTCCTCTACCAATTTAATTAGATCATTAGGAATAGGTTGTCGGTCCACTCTGCCTAAAAAGCCGGCTTGCAAAAGTATTAGAAGGCATACTCGGACAACATCGATGTCATCCATCCGAGTAAAACCATCTTTCTTATTCAATAATCTCGTCAAGTCTTCCACGTGTAAATTCGGCTTCTCCGTTGACAGCTCATGGAAAACCTGGGAAAACCATGATAGGCGGGTAATATGTCTAGTGTACCGATCTACATCATCGTGTCCGAAGCGTAGATCGGTGATTAAGCAAAACTCCTCCCGCCCAAAACACGTATACGCCGGTGGAAAATCAAACCATATCTCTTCATCACGACGTTGTATAGTCTCTGGTAGATCGCTAGTCATGATTTGAAGAAACAGATGGGTCAACATAGCATCTCCACCCGGATGATGTACTTTCAGCCATGGCCCGAAGCAAGTATCCTCAAATATTTTTCTTTGTACAGGTGAAAGCTTCGACGCAATTGTTTTGGCCAGGCTTACTTTATTTCTTAAGGTCAATTGAGCCGAATAAAAGTTCTGCAAAAACAATAAACATACCAATTTAGATATACCAAAAACTACACTGTGAAGATAAAACAAGAACAATAAACATAAAGAGTAGTAGTTTATTCTTCAAACTTAAATTTGCAACACTGTGAATTTAGTATTTGTTTTTGTTTTTTGGTTGAAGTAATGCAATTCATTCAAGTTTCAATTTGTAGAAGAAGAATAGTTTAGCAAAACTTTAAATCGCAACACGAAAATGAAAATCGCAACACGAAAATGACTATCGCAACGCGAATTTGACTATCGCAACGAAAAATGAAAATCGCAACAACAGAATTGCATTGCGATAGTCATTCTCGGTTTCAAATACTAAAATTGAAAGAAACTTGAATGGATTGCATTACTTCAACCAAAAGACAAAACAAAGACAAATACTAACTTCAAAGGGTTAAAGACTAAACATTTTAGCAGTATTGGCAGCAATCGAATGAATATAATAAGCAATCTAAGTGAAATGGTTAATCTATTATTGAAAACACCAGTAAACTTATCATCAATTTCAATATAAAAAACCTAATAATAATGCAAAAATTTCAAAATAAAAATAATTAAAAAAACTAACCCTCGGTGGTTGATTTGGTTGATTTTCCATTTCTGACCGTGAATGATTTCGCCGGAGATGGAGACTGATATCGTCGTGGGGACTGATTTCGTCAGAGATGGGGACGGATGTCGCCTTATAGAGTGAGAGATGGAGATGAGACTGAGTTATGATTTAGGGTTTTAGGTTATTTAGTTGCGATTACGGGATATATTATGGACGGTTCAGTGTTCCGATATATTAATATATTCGTGTTTGGAATTTGAAAAAAAAAATACGCGTTAATACGAATGGCGCTATGTAAATCGCATTGCGATTTACGTATTCGCATTGCGATTTACGTAATCGCATTGCGATTTACCAAATTCGCGTTGCGATTTACGTATTCGCATTGCGAATTAGGAAAATCGCAACGCGAATTTGGGAAATCGCAATGCGATAATCAGAATCGCGTTGCGAATCTGGAAACTAATTTGTGATACCGGAGATCGCGTTGCGAATTATCGATCGCATTGCGATTTAGTTGGTCATTTTGGCAAATAAAAAAAAAGTTGGTTAAAATCGTATATTATAAGACATTTTTGGTCACTGAGGTTATTTTCTCTAAAATAAAATCTTGTTTCTGTACTTATATACAAACATAATTCAAACAATATAGTAATGAGATCGAGAAACTAAACTTCCTTCATGGACTCCCTCGCTACTAACAAATGCAATATCGCACCAAATATGTTTGGTGATAGGCATGGTTTTCAGAACCGGACCGGTTAGCGAACCGGTCATGCTATCGGTTCACTAGTTCAACCGGTCGAACCGGTCCGATCGGTCGGAAGAACCGGACGACGTCATAATTATTTAAAAATTTAAATGAAAATACCAAAAACATTTAATAAAAAATATTTTTTTATATCACAAGTCATATTCAAAGCAAGTCATAACATATATAAGTTAAAAACCATAAAATCAAGTGAAACAAAATTATTCAAATTAACTACAACATAATATTTAAGGTAAAACATATTAAATAATAAATATAATTATATAACTATAATTAAAAAATAAATTTGGGGTTAAAAAAATCATAACAAAATGATATTGTTTGGTTTAATTTTTTTTTAAAAAACAATCCCACATGGCTAAGAAACATAGAAGAGTATCCCAAAAGTCTAAAGAGTAAAAATATGAAAACAAAAAATCTCACATTGCTAAATAACATATAAGCGCATCACAACTAACTTCTATAAATAATAGAGGTAATTTGGCATTCAAAATCATGGAGCCTTTTGGTGAGCATTGAGTGAACTATTCTTTCACTTCAATCAAGCTCGAATTTTAGGCTTCAATCGAGCTTCTAATTTTTTTTTTAGTTCAAGCCTTTTTGAGTTCAAGTTTCAATATTATATTTCGAGTTTGAGTTGAACTTGATAATTTTTAGCTTGTGAGTTTGAGTTGAGTTGAGCTTACTTTTAAAGTTTTCAAGTTCGAGTCGAGCTCAGCAATACTCAAGTTCGACTTGGCTCGTTTAACAAACGTCATTGTTTGGTTTAATTTTTTTTAAAAAAACAAAAATCCGGTTTTTTTCCGGTTTTCAGCCGGTCCGGTTCGAACGGTTCATCGGTTCTGGCCGGTTCACTAATACGGTTCAACCGGTTTAGATTGAATCGAACTAAACAACGGTTCCTGGTTGAACCGGCCGGTCCGGTCCGTTTTCAAAACAGAGGTGATAGGCTGTCATACCAATCCCTAGTGTATATGTCTAATTGCTTGGGTTGTTACATGAATTTTTGTAATGCATGTTGCAAGTTTATGTTAATGGCAAACAAATAACAAAAGCTGATTGAAGCGATCATCATCTAAAAAGTTTAAATTTATATATATTTTAGATTTTTTATATTTTCATTTGATAAAATGATGAGTACCCAACTCATAAAATAATTAATATGTTTTAAATTCGAATATTTTCATTATAAATACTTGATATTTTTTCAATTAAATTGATTGGTCAACGAATTAAATAATTCGAGTAGGATACTTTGCAGGTGCAACAACTAATCTCAAATCTAAATAAATAAATAAACATAGCAAATTTGTAAACCAAATCTTCCATTTTCCAGAGCAGTTCCAAACAACTAGGTTATCCATGTGTTTTACGCAGAATAAAAGGGTTGGGTTCTTGGGGATTCGGTCTAACTGCGCCCCCAAATAAAATAAAGAAAAAGATGACGACGATCATGGTGGCAACGAATGATGATAGTAGAAGGATAGAATGAAACGCAAGTCAATGAGTTTTTCCATCATTTGGCGAATGTGTACTTATAAATAATATATATTATCCTTGTTCGTTTCACATGGAAGCCACGAACCATTTTCTCTTAAGCTAGAATTCTGACTTATTACTCCCGCCATTGATGAATATTTTTTTTATTGATCTGGGATGATGATAAAGATAATATTTGTTTAAAATAGTCTCAATTATTTGATAATAAATGTTCAAATATTTTTGCAAATATTGTGTTCGAACCCGAAACTTTTAGAGATAACAATTATTATTTTAACCACTAAGATCGTTTGATTCATTTCGATTCATCATCATTAGAATAAAAGGATGGTAGTTTATTTTTATTCTTCTCGACTGGTTCTTGTATGTATGAGTCGAATAACGTGGGCAGCTCATGCATTCATCAACGATTAGTTCATGGTAGAATATCATTTAATCCAGACAATAATCCATAAAATGGCTTCAAGTTGTGGGAATGGAAGAATTATAAAAAGAAACATATGCTCCAAAAATGTTTGGTATCCTCGACAAAACAAGCTGGCGTTTGTTAGACTACATGTTAATTAAACCAAATCCAACAGGGAAATAATTAATTATAAGCTGAAGGTATCTTCCTTGTGCAAAAGCCCATTTATCGGTCTTCGTTTTCTCGTATATAAGCAATTGGTCTTCCCTCCAATCCCACATTGGATCTCAGTTTCATACTTCTGTTCTTCTTACCTTTCGAATTAAGCCAGGAAAATGGCAGTGCTGAGAACATTCGTATGTTTGGCAGCCATAGCCATGCTCATGGAGCTCGCCATGGCAGCAAATTACACTGTTGGAGGTGCAAATGGAGGGTGGGATACGAGCACTGACCTACAATCTTGGGTTGCAGCTCAAACATTTGCAGTAGGCGATAATCTGAGTATGTTGCACATTGCTATAGTTATATTTATACTTGATAATTAGTACCTTTTTAATTGACATTTGATTATCTGCAGTTTTTCAGTACACTCCGAACCATGATGTGCTTGAAGTTACCAAGGCGGACCACGACTCCTGCCAGACCGGCAACCCGCTTCAGACGTACAACGACGGCAACACGGTCGTACCTCTTACGACTCCGGGAAAGCGATACTTCATCTGTGGAACACTCGGACATTGCAGCCAAGGAATGCAGATTGAGATCGACACATTAGCAACGTCTATGCCACCGGCGACATCTCCTTCATCTCCGCCGCCTTCATCTCCTTCTCCGGAAACTTCTCCCTCGCCTGCGAATACCCCGGAATCAGTTCCTGGGAGTCCATTGTCCCCTGATGTGCCTTCGGATGGAGCACCGAGTGGTGTTTCACCATCATCACCACCACCTCCCTCATCAGCTATTAAGAACAGTTTCGGAACATTGGGGTTTGGCCTTGTGCTGATGGTGTTTTTGGCTTTTTAAGCCTATGGAGATTCCTTTGTTTACAAGAATCATCGAATTATTTTTATTGCTGCGAAAATTGTCTGTTTCTCTACTCGCCTGTGTGGTTTATTTGTGTAAAATGGATTCCTAGCAATATACTTCGTACTTTTGCAACTAACCATGTCACGGGGCAACGTCCACAGAGTGCATTACCTGATGTTAGAAATGAGCAAAACCTGATTTGATTATTAAAAACGAGTGAAATTTGATTTAATTATTAAAAATTTGAATCTTTTTAAAACTTTAAATAACATCTAATCTTAAAGGATTTGAATATCATACCATCATCAAAGAGATTAATCCATTTTTCTTCATCTTAAGCCACTTGTTCAATTTATTAAAATAATTATACAAGGTATGAAAAACCTAATACATAAATAAGATATTATAATTCGACCCAATAATAATCATAACCTCTACGTACTTACTAAGTCATCATAATTGTACTCTAATACTCTTGTTAAGACTCCTCCAATTATAGCGTTGTTCCATCGTGCTCCTCGAAACTTTAACTTACAAATGAAAACACATTCTGAACGTTGAACTAACAAACTCAGTGTCACACAATAATTCTATTATATTAAATGCATTCATAACATAAGTATATTGACAAATATAGTCAGAGAAACAATGATGTCTATCCAATTCATATCCACAATCACAATATAACAATTAAGAATGAGGTTCAGGTCACGAAGTCTAAACACACATCCACAACATACAAGAAAGCATTATGATGTAGTCTAGAATCACAAATGAATCACAAGACACACACTCCACTAACTTACAACGTCGGTACTTTAGATGAGGCATGAATTACTCTCGCATCAGAAACGTGCATCCAATAACTCCTCAATGGTCAAGTATCTTAGGTGAGAGTTTGGTCACATGTGCATCATAAATTACACCCGGCTAGCCTACAATTAGTCTAGGCAACAAGAGCATTAAAGGCAACATCCAACTAACATATTTTCAATGTCTCGATATGAATCTTAAGATATTCGAATAACTCATCATACATAACTAATGGTCGTCATATACAAATAACTAGGGTGTCTTCATCGTTTCTCGAGTATCAAACAAAGGTGTGTCTTATAAAATTTTACTTCATAAATTTCTTATGTTTATCACACCCTTATTATTAATAAAGTACCCTTGAACTCAAAGTTAATTTATCAATCACATTATTAAACATTCACATATTATTCGAGCTCTCACGTTAGAGCTAAACATTCAATCACGTATCATGACCATTTCATTATTACTGATTCACATACTCAAGTATCACCAATCTCATAATGTGTTTATCAATTCACATAACATCAAGCTCTTGTTGTCTAGCTCTCACTAGCGAGTTTTCACTTATTAACTTATTAATCGACCTCATCCGCAATTGGAGTTCTCACTCTCGAGCCATATTCGATAAATTAACGTCTACTAACCATTTTTCATTGATGATATCATGGGTATCGATACTAGTCAATGGGTATTGATACTTTTTTTTAGTATTGATACTAAAAATAATCTCGAAGTCTACTTGCAACCTTCAATATCAATATCATGCCTTGGGTACCGATATCTACCTCTAAAGTATTGATACTCCCATCGAGTATCGACATCAATTTAAGCTTTGAAGTCTCCTAAAAATATCTCGATATCGATATCAAAGGAATAATTAGGATATCAATACTACCCTTAAAAGCCCATATTTCTACCCTACAAAGAATAGTATCAATACAAGTCCATTTTGTATCGATAATCTAACTTAGAATTATCTTGTTTCAATCATGAATCACCCCAAACTCACCCCTAAACACTTATTTTAAAGCTTAGGTTGATTACTAAAACTTACCGAAGTTATCAGAGGTCATAATATATCGTTTTTATACAATTATAACGCCCACAATAAATCTACAAATACTCAAACCCCTAACACGCTTCATCATCTTATACAAGAAGGCAAATTAAGTGTAAACCACGTACTAAAGAAGAATTAAGATGTGCTACCTTAGGCTCCAAATAACTCAAATACCTTTTAAACTCACCCCTAACACTCGATATTTGATTGTAGCATCTAGACTTGATGTTAGATGATACATATTAAAACAAAACAATCTGTATAGTCAAAGTTAATTACATCATACGTCTTTAAACTATTATTCTCATTCTAAATTAGTCTCTGAACTTTTAAATATTTTAATTTCATCCTTAGACTATGAAGATCATTCTAAACTAGTCCTAAAACTTTTGAACACTTTAGTTTTATGCCCAAACTATGTCCTTCATTCTAAATTGGCCCTAAACATTTTCAACATATCAATTTCATCCTAAATTGTATATATATACTAATCACATTCCATGTTAATAAAATTGTTAGGTCAAATTATATTATTATGTGTTTGGAAAAAATAAAGATTAGGTTAAAATAAGGGTTTGAGGTTGAAATTAGAATATTCAAAAGTTTGAGGACTAATTTAGAATGATCATCATAGTTTAGGGAATATTTAAAACTTAATTTAGAATAAGGGTCATAGTTTGAGGATGAAATTAGAATGTTCAAAAGTTTGAGGACTAATTTGGAATGAGATATTAGTTTGAGGATGAAATTATAATATTTAAAAGTTTAGAGACTAATTTAAAATGAGAGTCATAGTTTAGAGACATACAAGACAAGTAAGTCTAATAGTTACTGTTCTAGCAAAAAGAATATATATTTTAGTTGTTGAAATTGAAAACTTGATTATCATGTAAAAGGTTCCCGTATATGTAGGATTTAAACAATGTTTTTGTTTTTGTCGCATATTTATAATCCTATGATATGTTATTCCATGTTTTAAAAATAATTTTTAGGGTTAAAAAATACTAAAATAGAATTTAACAGATTTAAAACACAAAATGACCCTTTTTATTAAAAAAACACAAAATGATCTTTAAATTTGACCGTCTTATCAAATTAATCTTTGAGTCTTTTTGAGCTAAATTGACCTTATTTAAATTGACCTTTGAATTTTTTTGTTAAATTATTATTAATATGAAGTGAATACAATATAATATTTATTTGAAAGATTTATAACTATTTGATAATAAACACTCATATATTTTACCGTTATTATGTTCGAATCTGATACATTAAAAATAACAATAATATTTTAATTATTGAGATCGTTTGATTCGTATAAAATTAATCATTGAAAATGATAAATTATTATAAAAATTTTGTGGCATAAAAATCAGGTTCCTGGGCATTGTATGTTTTTAAGTCATGTTAAAATTATTTTAATTACTATAAAAGTTGAGTGAATTAAAAGTGCAATTGCATTTCTTAAAAAGAATGTTTTAATCTACCCTTTACATTTCCATTAAATGAGATTGAAATTGTTATGGATTGATTCAAGTAGTAAGCAACTTAATATTGTTTAAGTAATGTCTCGAGTTTGAGTTCTTGTATGTACAGAAAATCTCTATTGAAAGATTCACCCATCAAATTTAAGTGTACGATGCGGGTCGATCAGATTAATCAAGACAAAATTTTAAAACCGATGATAGTAACCAAAAAAAATTGTGAGACAGGAATAAGTTAGGGTGATTAATGAAACTATATATTCTTTTAGGGTGGCAATCAGATGGGGACAAATAAAAAATCGTGGGGAATCGAACTTATGGGATGGGAATAACTAAAATCTTTCACCAACGGGGATGGAAAAAAAATCTCGAACCTCAAATGAAGATAAGAACTAAAATTACTATATATGAATCGTAGGGATTACCGAACCATATCTTTGTGAATAATTGTGAGAATCCTCGAAAAATAATTGTAGGGATCTCCAATATTTTACAAAAATAACTGTGGGCATCCTCAAAAAATATATAAGAGATTACATATTATCACTGTTACATCACATAAGAACTAAAATTAAAGTTGAAATATTTTCTCATTTAATAGACATTGATTTATTGAAATTAAAAATGATTAAAATTGTACATATACATTAAATGTAAGATTCATTTAACATTTGAAATTTTCATATTATAAGTAGAGATTAATTTAAGACAATATGATATATTTTACAAGTTTAAAATATTTTATTGATTTCAAAAATACTTAATTTTTTATGAAAATTAATAGAAACTTATAAAGATCAGTAAAGAATGAGTATAGGAATTCAAATATATAATGAAATTCTCTAAAATCGTACCTGTAAGTTTGAGTTTGAGAGGACGAAATGAGTAATGTAAAATGGTCCCCGCCTCCACACCATTGCGACCCCTATATTCTTTCCTCCAACAAAACTATTGGGATCCAACCTAACAAGGGAAAAATGGATCTGGAAACTGTAGATTAAAAGCTTGGCAACAAACCCAAAAATCCACCATTACAGATAATATATGAAATTTTTTTACATCAAAATCTAAATTCAAATCTGATCACCTCCCACCATAATTCAACTCACCACTATAAACTAAGAAAACGACGTACAAATCTTTTTAAAGAAATGGAAACTAACCAGCTAACCTAAGCATGCACAGGACCTGGAGCCAACAATACCGGCGAAGGCTGACTTGAGGGCGGCGGCGCCGACACAGCAGTTGAAGCAGGCGGCGAAGGAGCAGAAGGGGAGGGAATTGTGGAGGAGGATTTGGGTTTGTGGTAAGAGGAGCAGGTGGACTGGTGGTAGGATCGGCAGCTGGTGGCGGGTTAGATGTAGGAGAGGGTGGCGGGTTAGAAGAGCCAATGAGGGGAGAGGAAGAAGAGGAGGGTGGTGGCGGTGTGGGGAAGACAAGGGATGAACAAGAATCGCCGGAGCATTTGTGGGAGTTTTTGTGGCCGTGACGGATGAGCCCGAATCCCAAGACTAGACCTAGAGCCACCAACACTGTCACTATGAAGATGAAGATTTTTGTTGCTTTCCCTACATAACATATCTTCATTTTTTTTGGCACTACAAGTAGAAGAAAACAAACAGTACCGACTTCCAAAAACCTGCAAATCTGAAACGGTGTCTTGTCTTTGTTTAGAGAGAGAATATAGGATTTTAGTTTTCTTCTTTTTCCACAAATTTTACCATAAATGTTAGGCTTAATATCAAATTAAGCGATTAAACTATACATCTTTTCTTGAGTATGTGTTTAATTTTTGACTCATTCCGGTAGTTAACATTATTTAATTTATTTAAAATTAATGGTATTAAATTTTTCATTAATTAACATGTGTTTTAAAATTTAAAAATTAAAATTATATTTAAAAAATATAATATTTTGAAATAATTCTAAAATTTTAAAAACCTTCATTTCAACCCCTAAACCCACACCGACTGCTTCTCTTTGCTGTAGATGAAGTTCCACCCGATCTCACATCTCCCTGGCGACTAAAACCCCTATGAAATCGTGATCGATCGACAACGAATCGACGTTTTGTACCCATCAAATCCTAGGATGAAAATCGTGATCCCACATGATTCTGACGACCAATTGACAAAAAATACGAAAACGTATGATTAGGAGGATTGCATGGATTACGTTGGCGGTGGTGGTCATGACCGGACAGGGTGCGATGACTTATTAAGGTTATGATTTGGGATTTTGGGGTTGTTTTATAATATAAGAAAAACTAATGTTTTTATATAAATATCATAATATTTTAATATTTAAAATATAAATTTCAAAATCACTAGATTATGACACCTATCACTTAACAGTGTAAATTAACATTGTTGATGACCCGAACACCTAAAATGATAAAATTTTGTAACTTTAAAAGGTTGGATGAATAAAAAAAACCTATTTAAAAAAAATATAGTTTAAACATTTATTTTGATATTAATCCTAAATGTTAACCAAAATACTGAAGTGCTAAAAATTAATGATTTCGCTGGCTAAATAATATAGACCGATTTCCTTGTAAAAAAAAAATCATATGTTTAAAAATTATTTTGAAATCTAAATTATTTATTATAAGATATGTGAAATTTATTATAAAAATGATAATTTTATAAAACATAATAAATAATTAAAACTTTTCCTAATATGAAAAATTTTTATATAATTTTTTAGTTTATTAGGAAGAATTTTATTTTTTCATATATTTTATAAAACTTATTAATATCTTATGACAAATTATATATATATATATATTATAATAATAAATAACTAAATTCTCAAAAAAAATTAACACTTACATTTTTATTTTTTTTCGCTCATAATAATTTTAAAAATAATCTAATTTATATTTATATAATTAATTTATATAAATATAAATATAAATATAAATATAAATCGAAAGAGGAATATTTTGGGAGTCGAGTGTCTGCCATCACCATGTATACAGCATACAAACGGTGGCCATTTGATATGGATATTAAACAGTTTTGATTCATCAATATTTACTTACTAATTTATTAAAAATTAACAAGTAATAATACTATTTCTAATGTGGAGAGAAAAATATGTAGAAAACTAAAAAAGACATAATAAAATCAAAATTAATTTTAAAGGGTGTTTTGATTAAAATAAAGAAAAGAACGAAGGATTAGTTACATTCTTGTTAAAATAGTGACAAAAATTAGAAAAATAATAATAACGTAATGAGCACTAATATAATTTATCTTAAAAATAATTTCTAAATATAATTTTTTAAATAATCTATCGACAATACATGCATCCGCAAACGAACATATGATCTTTCAAAAGAATAATACTCCCTTAAATCGTTGAGTCCATTTAATGATTTCTAAACTTAGTTTTAAACTTAGAGGGCATTGGTTATTTCGAGTTTTCTTCATCTTCTTTTAGGGTCTCACATATTTTCTAGATGATAGTGGCTAGCTGATGCCCTTCGTGTTGGACAATTTCCATAGAAGCATTAAACCATTGTAATGATATTATTTTACAGTTTCTTTATTTAGTTTATAATTGTAAGTTTGCAGAAAGGGCACCTGCAACTTCTCTGGAAGCCTCAATCCCTTAGTGATTATGATTAATGGAATTTTTGACAATTGGCATATTACCATGACTATTGCCCCTTCTTGCATGGCCTGAGAATTGGATGCAAATTCTTCCTTTCTTATCCTGTAAGGCCTACTTCTCTTAGTAGCCTGCACTAACTTTTCTTTTCTTCTTCTTCTTCGGTAACTTCTCTTTCATTCTCATCTAGTTTCTGTTGATCACGGGTTGCACGAGGCCCCTGACGAAGAAAATCGACGACCGTGCTCTCGTCAAATAACATATTCATTTCTACGATTAAGTCGAATAACATGTTCAAAACACAAGAAAGGCGCACTCAAGATAAATTGTCTGTCTTGTGAAACAGATCTTTAAATAAAAAAAAGATGAAAAGTTGCAGTTCGACCACCAAAAAAAAATGACAACAGCCGTAGTTCGACGCATTAATAAGTTGGAAGTAAGTTTATTTCCGCTAATGATTAGTGATTTCCCTTTATCTAGTGCAGGTTCTTATCATATATTTAGCACGAATTGACCGACATCAGTGGTAAATGAATTATTTTTATTTCTTGAGATCTCGAGTTTGAGCATCAAGAATGTCCAGGGGTGTGAGCGTTCAATGTCAAATGATTGAGAATAATCTTTAAATATATATTGTATTGTACTTATCTCATATTAATTAAAATATTAATATCATATATTTAAATAGCGGTCCACTATCGGTTGTTATATAGCATTAAAGGTGTTGTCCAAATTCGTTATTTCACAACCACGATGCTGCAATGACCACAATAGTATCTACTATTACCACATACATGATAAGCACAACACAATCGAAATATGGTCGTTCGCAATTTAGATTTCTAATTAATATATGCTGGATTATTTTTTTGAAGGAAAACATGCATCATTAAAAACCCCTCCTGATCAACACAAGGTGTTGAACCTACGAGGGGAAAAGAGTGCCCAATTGCATACATCAAATAAACCGTACATCGTTTGCCACCTCCGAAGAGCTAATCTCTGGGAAAGTCGAGTCAAAAATAGTAAAGTCAAGGATATACAAGCTCATTTGGCCAACGTATCTGCTACAGAATTACAAGGTCGTTGAATAAGGAAATGTGAAATCTAGGACAAGCTTGGAAACGTTCCTTCACTAGTCAAAGATGACAAACCAAGGTAGAGAAATCTTCATCATCATGAAGCAATTTTTCACCAAAAGAGCACAATCGGATTCAAAAAGTACATTCTCCCATTCGTTATCACAACCAAAGGATAAAACAACACTAAAATCTTGAATCTCAGCTAAACCCGATTCACCAACACTGCGCATAGCCTGAGCTAAACAACCCAAGACTCTCCCCCTGATCGCAAGACACAACTCTAAAACAATACAACCATAACCTGGGTCAAAAGAATCGCCAAATTGATCTTTACCACACCAGAATTGGAGGACACCGATGGAAAGAGGATGTAACATGCACCAATTCATCTAAACTAGCAACACCACCAGTAGCATAACCATGACGATGCATGCAAGAAGCCTCTAGAAAATCTTGATGAATAATATATGCATTAACAACAAAGATCCAAGCATGTTGTAACCTATTTTCATGAACAAACAAGTTACGTCCATTCCACAAGTTCCAAAAAAGTGTAATCAGACTAGTAAATTGTTCAATCCCCAACACAAGTAGAAAATCTGAGCTGGAAAACCATTGAGTCGAATAGTCTCTTCTGAGCACAAACACGAGCATAAAGCATGCACCACTGTCTATTCACTCGTGTCACATAAAGGACAAACCCCATGTGAAAGACATGCTTGTTTCAATCGGCTACGAATAGGTAACGCCTCATGAGCCTGTTGGATTATAAACTTGATCCATTATGGGAACCTAAACCCAAACCCTAACCGAAACTAAATTGATGTCATTGCTTACATCATTTAAGTAAAGATGTCATTGCTTACATCATTTAAGTAATGATGTCATTGCTTACATATATTTAGTTAGGTGAGAGTTAGGTATTTGTTGAATTTGTAATGGTTTAAATTAGTTTATTTGTATGGTGTAGGATTGTTCTTGAGTAGTAAAAATACACCTCCCCATTTTAGTTTTAAGCACCAAGAAAAATTAAGAGCTTCTAAGTGAGTGAAGAAGCAAAGTCTTATAAGAGTGAGTTGTAGTTCTTGTTTTTGAGTGAGAGTGCTCTTGTAATATTTGTTTGAGTTTCAATAAAATTTGTTTGTGTGAGTGTTTTATTTCAATCAAAGTAGTATCAGAGCGAGTTGGAAAGATCAAAGGTTTCGAAGAGAGGAATCCGACGCTGCTAGAATTTTCTCAATATGAGTTCTGACGCACCGCCGGAAGATTGCTACCAGAAAATCGAGTTTGACTACCAAGTTGGAGACCCTTGATCGAGTTGTCCAAGTCACTACCAAGGTTTTTTTTGGCGTTCCGGATTCATTCGTGGAATCAGATTTTGCAAATTCTCATTATATTGAGAGATATGGCAAATGGTATTACACCATTCCAAGTTCCGACACACAATAATAAAAGCTACGACAATTGGAGTATCAAACTGAAGGCACTTCTTGGGTCACAAGATGTGTGGGATATCATAGAGAAAGGCTATAACGAGCCTGCAGATGATGGTGCTTTTTCTACTCTTACACCGGATCAAAAGACAACTGTGAAGGATTAAAGAAAGAGAGACAAGAAGGCTCTCTACCTCATCTATCAAACATTATATGATGATTGTTTTGAAAAGATTTCAAGTGCAAGCTCTAGCAAAGAAGTGTGGGAGAAGCTGCAAACCTCTTACAAAGGATCCAAGCAAGTGAAGAAGGTTTATCTCTAAACATTAAGAGGTAAATTTGAATCCTTACACATGAAAGCATGAGTCTATTTCAGATTATTTCTCAGGAGTAGTAGCTATTTCTAATCAATTAAAAAGAAATGGTGAAAAGTTAGAAGAGTTAGAAGATGTGA